GCTGCTCCATGGCAGCGTCCCCTCCCCTCCCCAGCGCTGCACAGGGGGTGTGGAGGTGGCACCATGGAAATAGTGCTGGGAGAAACCAGCTTTTAAGCCGCTCCCCCCCACTACCAGCTCCTGCTTCCCACCCCTTTGCTGCCTCTGATACAAAGGTAGAAGGTAGCGTGGTGGGGAAATGCGAGTAGTCTAATAGTCAACTGCATGACTAGTCACTTACATCCCTAGCTGGACCTGGGTGCCTTTTACGCTCCCCCCACTACCAGCTCCTGCTTCTCACCCCTTTGCTGCCTCTCGTACAGAGGTAGAAGGTAGCGGTGGTGGGGAAATGCGAATAGTCTAATAGTCAACTGCATGACTAGTCACTTACATCCCTAGCTGGACCTGGGTGCGTTTTATCTACATAATAAAAATTCTATCGACTATACGATTAGTGAACTACTTGCTTCTTCACATGCCTATCCTGCACCCTACCTCCTGCCCTGACTCCTCACTCCCAACCCACTCCCCTGGTAGCCCCATCCTGCATACTGATCCCCTCATCCTGGCCCCAACCCAGAGCCTAGATGGGGCCCACAAACGTTACTAGCAACAGGCCCCCCCGAAAAGTTAATCCAGCCCTGGTAACTCTAAGCCTTGGCACTTCTCTCAACCCTTAAAGGCTGGAGCACAAGGGGAGTGAGGTAAGTGTCTCTCTTTTGTTTTTTTCTGCATCTCAGTTGAAGGCTACCTCTGTGAGGGGGGGTTTCATTCTTACTTGGGGGCAAGTGAGGAGTTTGGGGTATTTTTACTTCTCACTTGTGTGTGGCCCCCAACTGATTTTTATGTGAGTCAGTGGCCCCCAAGGCAAAAAAGGTTCCCCACCTCTCATCTAGAATTCTGATCAGCCACACCCATATAGCGAGCTCACTTTATCAACACAGCTCTTGGAATAATAGTAATATAAATGAAACAATTTCAGATCTGGCATATTTTTGTTCTGCTTAGCTCTCCCAAGCTGGAAACAGCCTGGAACACACGGAAGCCACTCTGACCAACTATCCCTCATTTTATGTGCTTCCTATAGTTTGCAGACATAAGGACAGATTCTCCTCAACATAGGAAAAGTACAGGAGACTGGAAAAGTTACTCTATAAAATCTTATGACATTTGCACAGCATTATCCTGTATGAGCAAAGATCCAGGTCCATATACCCACAGATACCCTGCACAACAATGTTTTCAGCTACCACTGCCTTCATGATCACAAAGTTTCTGAAGAACATTTTTCCCCTCATGGGAATGTACTAGACAAAGCCATGTATCTTTTATTTTATAAAGCTTCCCCAGAGTTGTCATTCAAGGCAATCATAGATGGACTTCATGCCTCACATCTTTTACAAATTTGTGTTCTTTCTGAACACAATCAGTCTTTTTTGTTTCCAGAACAGAATGCCTTTTCATTACCATTCAATTCAAATAGTCTTATAAATAGATCTACTAAAATACTGTCTTGCTGTTTGTACAGTACATTATTAATATAAATTTGTTCCAATTAGAAAACAGAGATTCAAATTATCAAATAGAGTTTTGTGAGATCCTTTTGAAGCACTTCAAAAGTAAATATATACACAAAGCAGTTATTCCTTTGATGAATTTGGCTCTGAGTTAAGGTGTGATGTTATCTGATTGAAATATTAGACTTCTAATTAAACTGTGGCACAGTAAACAAGGGTTAACTAGCTAGGGTAGACCCAGGGTAGACCTTTAAAGACTTATTAGAAAGATGCATAAATGATAAGTGGGTTATTACATTAGGCTAAAATAGAACTTTGAAATCCAAGCTTACATTGTTAGAGCAATAGAATGGTAGGTGTTTGCTCTATGTGAACAAACAATCCTTGTCTGTTACTATAGCTTTGATTCAAGAATATTAAGGGAATATTAACATAATGAAACTTGATTTAAGTAGTATTATTGTTTATATGTATCTTTGACGATTATGGTAAACTGTGAACTGTTCGATGGATAAATCACTTTGTGTTAATTGCTGTTTGGGAGACAAACAGTTAAATCCATTGTGTCCTCGCAGGCAAATAGTAGGGATGTTAAATTTAGATTAATCAGCTAATTGAATAGTCGATGCAATTTGCATCGACTATTTGATTAGTCAATAAGGGCACCTCTGCCTTTGAAGTGTAGCAACAGCCCCAGAGCTGTTGCTGTACTTCAAAGGCAAAAGCGCTGCTGCGTGGTGCACTCCAGCAGCTTTGAAGCACCATCTCTTCTCCCCACCCTTGCTGCCTCTTTCTGATAGAGGCGGCAAGTGGGGGGAAAGCAACTAGTCGACTAGTGTGTCAACTATCCAAATAAGCATTTGCCAAAAGTCCAACTAGCCCTGTATCCTGTCTTCTGACAGTGGCCAATATTCTCCAAAAGGAGTGAACAGAATAGGTAATCATAAAGTGATCCCTTTCCTGTCACCCATTTCCAGCCTCTGACAAACAGAGGCTAGGGACACAATTCCTATCCATCCTGGTTAATAAGTATTGATGGACCTAAACTCCATGAATTTATCTAGGTTTTTTTTTTTTAACCCTTTTCTGAACCTTTTCCAATGCCAATTTATCTTTTTGAGATGAGGCAACCACATCTGTACACAGTATTCAAGATGTGAGCATACCACGGCAATAAGATGTTCTCAGTCTTATTTTCTATCCCTTTTAATTATTCATAACATTCTGTTTACTTTTTTGACTCCTGCTTCACATTGAGTGGGTATTTCCAGAGAACTATCCACAATGACGCCAAGATTTCACTCCTGAGTGGTTATAATTAGTCTCCATCTTTTTGTATGTATAGTTGGGACTATTTTTTCCAATGTGCATCACTTTGTATTTATCAACATTAAATTACATCTGCCATTTTTTTGCCCAATCACCTAGTTTTGTGAGATCCTTTTGAAGCATTTCCCAGTCTGCTTTGTTCTTAACTATCTTGAGCAGTTTAATATCATTGGAAAATTTTGCCACCTCCCTGTTTATCCCTTTCTCTAGATCTTTTATAAATATGCTGACTAGAACTGGTCCCAGCACAGTCCCTTGAGGACACCATTAGTTACCTCCCTCCATTCTGAAAACTGACCGTTTCTTCCTAACCTTTGTTTCCTGTCTTTTAACCAGTAATCAGTTCATCAGAGGACCTTCCCTCTTATCCCATGACAACTTTGCAGCAGCTGCCGCAAAGATATAAACAAACACCCTTTTGACAGAAACATTTTTTCTCTCATATCTGCATGGATGCTCACAGGGAAAGCTACAGGCCATAAAGGATGAGATCCAAGGAAATCCTGGTGCCCCTCTTAATGGACATTGACTTAGGGTCTCAGATCTGCTTGAGGTTTCATACTGAGGAAACCTAAGCCACAAGGACTGAGGGCCCAGTCACTGGCTAGAATCACCTTGGATACAGATTATTGACTATAACCATGAACTAAATTCTGAAAGAATTCTTTACAGCTACAAGATCATCACTATTATGTATCTAAACCTCAATAACTGAACTACGTCTGTATGTATACTGATCTTTTAACTAATACTTTCTCATGCTCTCTTTTCTTATTTAATAAATTTTAGTCTAATTAATAAGAATTGACTATAAACATGTATATGGGTATTTTAAGGGCACTGTGTGGTATGGACTTCTGATTGACCAATACGGTAACAGAGAAGCAGCTTTGTGTTCACTTTGGTGAATAGCCTCCAGCTTTGGGAATTTGCCATCCCATTTCTTGAGGTGCACCCTAAATGAGTAACCTCAGCTGGCTCCCCTGGAAACTCGTGTATCACATAAGACCCAATCCAAAAGGTGCAATGTTTTGGGCAGACGAGATCCTTTATTTGTAAAAACTGGATCTGTGGTCAGCATAAAAATATATATTTCAAACTTCTGCAATACTAGCTTGTTTAATATACAGCTAAGTAGGGATGTAGACACTTACCCAATTAACTGTTTCCTCAACATCTTGAAATGTAGTTTTGCAATGTTGCTTGGAGTCAGTGCCTGAGTGAAAGAGAAATTATTCTGGAATTCCAGAGCTACATGAAAGTCAGTTTGGTAATAGAGAGCAATATATCAGGAAAATATGAAGCAATATTTCCATTTGGCCACACTATAAATAATTAGAATTACAGAAAACGGAGATGAAGAAGACCTGGTATGGTGTTTAGCTTATCTCTTGTTGGGGCAGATTTTTACTGACTGCTTTTAATGTAAAACAAATGAATAAAAGCAGCAGCATTCAGGACAAAATATATTTGGTGCTTCCATATATCAACATCATGCCAACATTTTCAAAAGGCCTCCCTTTTTATGACTGAAAATTATGGGAGCAAGTAGTTGCAAGCATAATTTTGCGCTATAATTATTTATGTGTATAATTATTTGATTACAAATACTGTCATACAGATGTCTGAGTACTGACCTGAGCAACTTTAGATTTCTGAGTAATTTTAATGCAAGTATAAATAAATATGCTTGCAATTTTACAGGTGAAAAAAAGAGGCTGTTGAAGGCAGGAAGAAAATGCTGGTACTTAAGCTCTAAAACTAATCTAAAGACAGAACTAGACAAAAAAATCCCATATTAGTGGGAGGATAAATTAACTGGCCTTAACAGGTCTTTTCCCTCTTGAATATAACAGAAACTCCAATGAAACAACATATTTTCAGCAACTATTCATTTCAACTTTTTTTTGGTCTCAGTATGAGTGGTGCACAATTATTAACTGGATTATATTATTTATTTCTGTCACTGCAGTTGCTAACAGAACAATTGCATTATATTCACTGTACATTAAAAATAATCAAACATTTGTTGGTGAAAAGGCATTACACTAGAAAGTCTTTTAATCTATGCAGTGCCATACACCATCCTAAATACTTCTATAGTGTCTGTTGGTAAAACAAAACTGGCTGAATGCCAAAACTGTAATGCCACTGTTGGAACAGACACACTGATTGTCTTTGTACATCGAACACAATATCCTCAGACAGATGTTCACATGGACCACAATAGCAAGTATTCATTTCAAGAGAATATTAAGAATGCAAATGTCTGCTATATTTCCATTTTAGACACAAGTTATGTAAGTAGTTATGTAATCAACCAACACATAAATAAGCGGCCAGTCCTGCCTACTGTGGAGCACAGATGCTCAACAGTACATTGCAAGACAGGGCTTTATTGATCATATCCACACTAAATGAGCATTCACACACAGCTAAAAATAAATTCCTAAATTTTTGTCCCACCATTCAATGTAACACCTCGGGTAGATTGTCTCAGGGCAGACTCTTCTTTGTCTGGTCAGGAACTGGAAGAAGTTACCCCCAGGATATTATGAGTAGACAAAACAGATTTAATTTATTCAGATGTCTTCAACTGGCTAACAATCAAATACAAATACTTCACTAAAATCACTCTGTAAAATCATCTCCACAGACCGTTGCTGTTTATTAAATAATGTTCACAGCAGAAAGAACATCCACCAAAACATGCAATTTTCTCTGCTCCTTTGGATGAGCACAGGAAACTCCCTTACTCTCAATTTTCCAGTCATACATCTGTAGACCATAAATATCCCCGGGATATTTCTGTTCTGTTTGCATGCAACCTACCCTTGTTCAGTTTTATGGATCTCTTGACTGACTTATTTTGCATTTCCCTTGCTTCAACTGAGGCCCATGCTGTTAGGCTCAGAAAAACTCATGAGGAATACGTTTCATTTAGCTAGTAAATTCATTCTATTTTATGTTGTACAACATTTTAAAATGTATTTATTAAAGCCATTGTCTTGGAATGGGTCTCTGAATAATGACCACTTATTTTTAAAGGAGGGGACCTGTTCATCCACTGCAATGATTTCTACCATGGATTTCCAAAATCATTTTGTTCATTTAGAAATGTATCTTTTGCAATGTTGTATCAGGTTGCGATCTTGTTAGATCTTCCATGGCAGAGTTATACCTGTCAATATTTTTTGAGGCCCCAAGGAAAGTCAAAGATGTTGTAGGAAGTGGTATTGGCAATTTAGAAGGAGCCATTTCCCTTCTAAATCAGGACTGTCCCAATGCCCAAACACGCTCAAAGAAAGCATTGTGATGATAGCAGTGATGTCTTGAAGATGAGATACAATCCACAATCCTATTGTGGATGTCAATAAGATGTCATTTTCACAAGACTGCAGTGAGAATCAAGGGTTCTTAGTACCTTCCCAAAGGTATTTGGTACCTTCCAGAATCAGTTCTCAAACTAGATCAGATCAAAGAACATACACACATTACACAAGACAAAGGAAACTGAGGAAGTAACAGGCTTAGAAATTATAGTTGACTTTCAATTTTTTTAACTTTAACATTTTTTTGTTTTTATCTTGCTGTTCTTCCTTACTATTGTCTGTTGTCTCCATTTAAATTATATTCAAATTCTCTAATCTGCAATGTTACAATTTACTTCAAGCTATTTCTTTTTAATTTCCAGATCAGAATCTGTTGATTATCACTCAGAGCTTTAGTTCCAAAGACAGAGAAAGCACATAGAGAATGCAAAAGGAAGTTAGGTAAATGAAAAGGAAGGTCAAAAGTGACAAAAAGAACATACTGAGTATGTAAAAAAATGTACACATAATTCCTGTGCATAACTGAATACAACTTTATGGATCATTAACATGCTCAACAACACATGTGCACACATTTTTTTTTTTTACTTACAAGTATTAGCAGTCTTCACAAAAGCTACTGATGTAGCTTTATAATTAGGTGGTTTCTGCTGAGCTTTTGCAGATGTGGTAGGTTTTGGGAGAGGATGTACTTTCATCTGTTTGGAACTGACACAACCTACAGAAAGAAGGAAAGTTCTGATAATATTATGGAAGTTAGAGGTAGACATTAACTATCACATCATGAAATCCACCAACCCTAATGCTCTAGATGCCACCAGGATGCTACAGAGCAAATTTCTCTGGTAGAACTCCTTGTAACAGATATAGCAATTTCCTGCAATATCTATGAAGAAGTTTAAGTATTATTGGAGTCCACTGTATTAAATGCAAAGGTTATGTATTACTGTGGACCTGGATGATCAAAGGACTATATTGAAACAATGTGACAGATCAGAATGATCTTTTTGGGATAACTTGAAGTGGACTTAGATAGTTTCCATAAGATGAAGTGGACTTCCTGGAAACTATCTAAGACATGGGCAGACAAAATACAGTCTATAGGCTGAATCTGACCTGCCAACATCCTACAACCCAGTGGGACCCTGAGGCAGGCTCCCTGCCTGCCACTCACCTGCACACTGCTCAAAATGGGGGGGAGGGGTTGTGCTTCTCTGTGTGCTGTGCACTGCTGGGGAGGCCTTCATGCTGTCCCCCTACACCCAGTACAATCTTGCAGCTCCCATTGGCCAGAAACTGACAAACAGGAGCTGCCTGAGCCATGCCTGGAGCACAGAGAGCGCACAGAGCCCCCGCGCCCCAGGGGTGCACAGGGTGCATATGACCCCTGCAGCTGGGCACCTTAAGCAGTGTCACCAGTGGTGAGTGGAATGTAGCGACACGGCGACTGCAACACAGCTCTACTGAAACCAGCATCATCTTGGGCTTGTTGCGTGATTGCATGGTGAATGTGTGAACCAAGGACAACATCACAGCCTTGTAGATGTTCTAGATGGGAATATTGGCAAGGAAGGATGCCAAACAAGCCTTCACCAAATGTGCCTGAGCAGCAGAGGTGGCTGGACACTTGCTGACTCCTAACACACCTGGATTCAAAAAATTATCCAATTTGAGGCCCTTTATGTGAACACCCAGAGCCCTTTCATCCTTTCTGCATATGTGATGAAGAGCTCTGGGTGATGTGATGATCTACAAAATGGCTCCATCCAGTCTAGGGAAAAAGTGAGAGCTTTCCTGACATCCAGGGCATGAAGATGTTTTTCCTCGCTGGTCGTACGTGGTGTAGGGGAGAAGACTGGAAGGAAATGGCAGGATGGGGCTGGAGCTGAACCTTGTCCTTAAAAAAGACAGTATAAGGGGGCTCCAAAGTCGAGCTGCTTAGACTCTTCTAGCCAACCTGATCACTACAAGGAAAGCTACCTTCCAAGAGAGGTACAGAAGACAACACAAAGCAATGAGCTCCAATGGCAGACCCATAAGTCTAGAGAGGACCAGGTGAAGGTCCCATTGGGGGACAGGAGGCCAAACATATGGGGAAAAAGTCTCTCAAAGCCTTTCAAGAACCTGACCATAATGTCATGGGAAAACACAAACTGGCCTCAGATCAGGGGATAGAAAGCCAAGATCATAGCCAAGTGACCCTTAATAAAAGCATGAGCAAGGCCTTGTTGATTTGCAGGATACTTTGTATGGGGGCCACAGAGGAGAAAGTCCCTTCTCCACTGCCCACATGGAGAACGTAGACCACTACTCCATGTAAGTCTGCCTAGTTGTTGGCTTTCAGCTTTCCAGAAGAACTCACTGCACTCCCCCACTGCACTCATTCAAAACAGAATTGCTTCTATGGATTCAGCCACAAAGAAGACACTGTGAGATGGAGTGAAGCCAGGTCAGGATGGAGCAGACAGCCATGGTCCTGGAAAGGTATGTTTGGGTGGATGGGCAGGGGCCATGGTAGGAGCATGGTGAGGCTCATCAGAGAGCTTTACCAATGCTGGCAGAGAATAATCCTTGCTTTGTCCTGCTTGATCTTCATTAGGAATTTGGTAATGAGAAGAATTGGGAGAAAGGCCTAGAGCAAACCTTGTATACATGGTATGAAGAAGGCATCCAACAGGGAACCCATTCTTGCAGCTTGCCTAGAGCAAAAACTGAAGCACTTCCTGTCTTGTCCTGTGGCAAACAGGTCCATTTGGAGATTGCCTCACTTCTGGAAGAGAAGGGAAGTGACTTCTGGATGGTGAGCCCTCTTGTGGTGAGAGAACTGTCTGCCAAGAAGTTCCTGACACCTGGGAAGTGGGGAGCCTCCTGGTGAATATTGTGCTGGATACAAAAGTCCCAAAGATGGATTGCTCCCTGGCAGAACACTGAGTAGTGGACTTCTCCTTTTCAGTTAACATAGAACATTGTGACTGTTTTGTCCAAGAAGACTCTGACCATTCTGCCCAAGAGATGAAGTAAGATGACTTCGCATGTTCTGCGCACTGCCCTTTGCTCCTTGACATTTATGTGGAGGGGCACTTCCAATCCCAGGTGCCTTGGGTCCGGAGATCGCCTAGGTGAGTGCCCCATTTGAGGTCTGAGGTATCTGAGAACAGTTCAGTAGAGTGGGGAGTGGCCTGAAACAGGACCCCTGTCATGATCTTCTCTTGGTTGTCTACCAGGTGAGGGATGGAGAACTGAACCTGGGATGGTCACCACTCAGTCAAGCAGATGCCTGGAAGATGTGTAAACTGACCTAGCCACCCATAGAGAAGACGCAGCCTGAACCAGGTGTACCTAACTACATAGGTACACTCTGTCATGTGACTTAGAGGCCAAAAGCAGATTCCAGCCCTGGTGATTGGCAAGATGGACACTAGGGATCCTTAAAATGTGGGCAATTGTGTAAATATGTAACTGCTGAAAAAACTCAGTGGTTATATTGTTACATGCACCTGCAGCCAGCTCCCTGGGAACCGGAGCACACAGGGAGCTGGCTTTTAAACTGGCTCCTTGCACATACTGGTTCCAAACTGCCACCCAGCACTGCTGCCTCTGATACAGAGGCAGAAGCATAGGGTGACAGGTGGCTCCCCAGGTGCGGGTGCCGCTGGGAGCCAGCTTTTAAGCCATCTCCCGGTGCACACTGATTCATGCTTGCAGCCCCACACCCAGGGAGCTGGGTGCTGCCCCTGTGCTGCTGCCTCTGATACCTGGCCAAACACCCTGAATGAGGTGTCCTCTGGCTCTTCTGCTTGAAGATGCATATTAGCAGCAGCTCTCTTTAGAAAGTGTTGGTGGGCCCTAGCATCGTTCTGGGGCAATTTATTCCAGTGTTTGACCACACTGACAGTTAGGAACCTTTTCCTAACGTCCAACCTAAACCTCCCTTGCTGCAGTTTAAGTCCTTTGATTCTTGTTCTATCCTCAGAGGCCAAGATGAACAAGTTTTCTCCCTCCTCCTTATGACATCCTTTTAAATACCTGAAAACTGCTATCATGTCCCTCTCCCCCCCAATCTTTTCTTTTCCAAACTAAACAAACCCGATTCTTTCAGCCTTCCTTCATAGGTCATGTTCTCTAGACCTTTAATCATGCTCGAGTTAAGATCTGAGGTGGCTCTCTGTATAGGAGCGCAGAGGTTAAAGTATTGTAGGTAACTGAGCAAACAGTAAATGGGTCCAACTATTCAGACCTAGTATCCACAAATCCTGTACCGTTAGGTTATGGCAAGCTATACCTGCTACTAGACCACAGCATATAGTAATGGACTCAGGCTGGCTGGGCAAGTGCTCCAAGTCCAGCCTCTGGGCTGGGAGAATGGAGGATTCCATCTTTTTCAGTTTCCATATTCATCTTTTGTGCAAAGCCTGCTTACTTGGGTTCTGGTGAGAAGTGTTGGTACCAAAATTTCAGCCCTAGTGACTATCATCCGTCTAACACATCATTTTTCTCACAAGGAAGAGGGGAAACGATACAGAAAAATGATATGGCAGAGGGGCTCTTTAGATCACCAGAGTAGCAAATCATTTCTCCATTTTTTATCTGTGCTTTTAATGAAAATATAAAAATTAGACATAAATGTTGATCCCTCAGAATACGGTTACATATGCTATTTCAGCAGAAAGTTCTGTTTCTGGAGTCTAGCTATACTCCCCTTCTCTCTCCACTATCAAAAATTACATGCATCAATTGCTTATACATATTTTCATGACATTTAAAATAATAATTTTCTTAATTCAGTCTGAAAGATCTGGTCACATTTATTGGTTATTGATTCACATACCTGAAGGCTGAATATTTTGAGATATATTGATCATCTTCTTGCCCACGATAGCTGAGGTTGGTCTTTGAACACAGTGTGATCTAGATCAGGCAAACAAAAAATTGTTGGAATAGTATATTTCCTTATTTCTGCTTGCCCATCATCAGAGGCTAATAATATGTTACTTAATACTATGGACTGACAAACACTGTGCATAGGTTTTATTAAACTTGTTGGACACATTTATTAAATATATAAATGTACAACATATGTGGAGATAACGGCCATATGATAAGCTGCAGACACATCTCAAAGTACAAAGAACCATGGTGACTGCTATGTGATAAATGATGTGAGCCAATTAAATAGTTTGCAAACCATATCACATATATCCAGAGAAAGCTCTAAAAATTATTTTAGTTAACTTGTTTGGGTATAGAATTGTTTTAGTGGCTCTTAAAAAAGATCGATATGCAGATTCCTTTCCTCTGAATCGTGTAATGTCTGAATTCACCCCTTTCATTAACAGACATTTACAATATAAATTATTAATCAGATCACTTCCAATGACAGCAGCTCTCCTTTGGGTAATTTGGCACATGAAGGCAAAAAGCTTAATTCAGATATTCACACCCCCCATGACTGTGCACATGAACATTAGTCTTATTTCAAGCAGAGACTCTTGCTCTTCATTTAGCCACTATAGAGCAAATTAATACAAAATATCGAATTATACTATAAGTTCTTATTGAATCTTTATTCCTTTAGTGTTAGTATAAATTATTACTGCTTGCCCCTTGTTAACAAACTGGGAAAATAGAGCCACGCTGTATAAATAGAGTTGTTTTAAAGCATTAATTTTATTTAGAAGTCAATCAGGAAATAAATACACACATATTAAAATGCAGATTTTAATAAAGCGTTTGATATACTCCCTTATGACAGATTATACACAAAGTTCATTCAAATTTGTTTGGGTTTAGAAGAAAGTCACATGGAATGAAAATTGACTGAACCCTTCCCCTCCCCCCCCACAAAGGGTAAAGATAAATAGCAAATTACTGAATGGAGGGACCCATCAAGTGGGTTACAGCAATGAACTAATATTTTGTCCTGTCATATTTAAATATTCTGTAATGATCCAGAAAAGGGAGTAAACTGACGTTTGTAAAATTCATTCCATTCAAGCCATTTGAATTCCTGAAGGTATATATAGGCACCTTGGGTAAAAATAATTATGAACTTAATTATTTCATGATCACAGCACATGATTCTAAAGAATGGTAGGAGGGAAAACAGCAAGAATTAAAACAATGGATTTCAAGAAAACAGACTTTAGCAAAATTAGAGCTAGAACCCAATGGAAGCAAGTCCAAGGGGGGGGGCGGGGGAAGAGCTCAAGAGAGCTGGCTATTTGTTAAATAGACATTATTAAGGACCCAAAACCAAATTATTCCAAAGTATAGGAAAGATAGGAAATATGGGAAGAGAGCACCCTGGCATAACCAGGAGATCTTCAACAATCTGAAACTCAAAAAATAAGACAAAGAAAAAGTGGAAACTAGATCAAATTACGAAGCATGACGATTTAAAAAAAAACAGCACAAGGATGTAGGGACAAAATTAGAAAGGCACAAATTGAGCTTAAACAAGCTAGGGATGTGATGGGTAACAAGAAAACAGTTTACAAATAACTAAGAAGAAAGAGAATGACCAAGGACAAGGTAGGCCCATTACTCAATGAGGAGGGAAAGACAATTAAGGAAACACAGCGGTGGCCAAAGTGTGAAATGTCATTTTTGTTTTATCTTTCACTGGAAAGGTTAGATACTATGGGTCACAGATTAAATATAAGTTTACAATGCAAAAGTGTTTCTAAAAAAAGTGAATATCCTTCTGAGAGGTATTAGCTGGAGTGTTGTATGAAAGATACAAGAAGCAATTTTTCCACTCTGATAAGGTTTTAACTTGAGGGTTGTGTCCATTTCTGGGTACCATACTTTGGGAAAGATGTGGACAAATTGTAGAAAGTCTAGATGATTAAAAGTCTAGAAAACATGATCTACCAGGAAACTCTGAAGAAATGCTTTGGTTAGTTTAGTTAGTTTAGAAAAGAAAGGAGGGGACTGAAACAGATGACCTATTCTACTATTCACACCTTGGGATGAACTCTCCTTAAATATTCTCTCATTCACGCCTTGTTCATGACCCACCCTGGGCAGCACTAGCAGCATGTCTGATAAAAATGGTGGGGATTTGAAGGAGAATGCATCATGCAGGCCCTGCTCAGTCTTTCTCCCACTGAAATCAATGGCTAGAGAAATAATAACACATATACTCCACCCCACTCTACCCAACCACTGTTCAGGTGCAGTGGAGTGAGGTCCTGCAGAATATTAGTCGCAATTCCCTGATAAAACCATCCACCACCATGACAAGTTAGAGTTTCACAGAAGCACCACTTATCAGTTAATCTTATCAACTAAACACACTCCCTCACTTGCTGCCTCCTCCAGTGCCAGCTCTTTGGAGCCACCTGTCTCCTACCCTATTGCCTCTCAGAGGAAGCGGGTGGAGGGAAGGGCAGGCAGGAGCTGGTGTTGAGGGTGGGGAGCAGCGCAGGGCGGGAAGGAAGGCTGCAGTGGAACAGCCTCTGTCTGCAGAGGGCCCAGGCTCACACAGCTCCCTGGCTAGCACAGCTCCTGTCTGCACTGAGCTTGGAACCCACTCCCACCCCCATCCCCGCACAGACAGAGCTGCTTCCAACCCATGCTGCTGCCTCTGATACAGAGGCAGCAGTGGAGTGTGGCAGAGGGCTCCCCAGGAGGGGGCCAGGAGCTCACTGGCTGCCGGCCCCACCCTTGGGGACTACTGAATAGTTATGCAACTGATAGTATTTTGTGCAGTTACACAACTATTCAGTTAATCGCTACCTTTTACCATTAGTATTAAGTCCACCAGGGACCATAAGGCAATGCAGAATAGAACTCCACTCCATTTGGGATGTAAGAGTGTAAACTACGAATTGATTTTTAACCCAAAAGCGAATGCTGATTGGTTAATGGTATCGGTTACACTCATCCTGTCAGGGAGGCATATTTGCAAAGCCTCCTCCCTGGGAGTTGGGCAAGCAAGAACTGTCACAGCGAAGCCTCCTCCTGGGAGCTGGGCTGGCAGGGGCTAGCGGCCCTGCTCCCAGCAAGATTTCACCATGGGCTCTGTAGTACAAAGCTAAGCAGTGCAAGTAACTATGTAACCATTGAGATTTTCAGCAGATATACGGTTACACAATTTTTAACATCCCTAATCCCCACCCAACCCTGTTCCTGAACCTCACCAATACACTCACTGTTTCCACTTACAGCTGAGAGGAACAGAAGTGGGCAGACACAGGAGATAGAGGAGAGTTTTATTCTGTCTTAACAGTTTTATGTTTTCCATCATCTTTTGTTAACCTTTTACCATCTAATATCTCACATGAAGAGGAAAGCATTATGAACAAATGTCTTGCCACAAATCTTATTATGACTCCAAGGGACACTAAGGCTACGTCTATACACTGCACATTCTTGCGCAAGAAGATATGCAAATAAAGCGTGGCGATGAATATCACTGTGCCTCATTTGCATACCTAATGAGCCGCCATTTTTGCACAAGGGGCTTTTGCGCAAGAAGGAGCTGTCTACACTGCTCCTTCTTGCGCAAAAACCTCCTCTTGAGCAGGAGCCATTCAGGAAGAACAGCTCCTGCACAAGAGGGGGTTTTTGTGCAAGAAGGAGCAGTGTAGACAGCTCCTTCTTGCGCAAAAGCCCCTTGTGCAAAAATGGCGGCTCATTAGGTATGCAAATGAGGCACGGTGATATTCATCGCCACACCTCATTTGCACATCTTCTGCAGCAAGAATGTGCAGTGTAGACGTAGCCTAACAGTGTGGGAAGTAGATTTACTCTTTTGCACTCAGCTGCCTTTAGAATTCCCACTGTTTGATTTCTTTTAAAAGCAGTCAGAGTAGTAGAATCAAAATTTTGATTTTTCAATTAAGTATTTCAGTTCTAACTTAATTTGACTAATTTGAGTTACAATTAGAATGTTTCAAATTAAATTGTAACTTTAGAACAACATAATGCATCCCTTGAAAAAAATTGGCAAAGTTGATAAGAATGCTGATGTGTACAATGTCAGCATTAAAATTCTAAATGGAGCATTCATTACATGTAATGTTTAGTGAATTGTTAGAAAAGTTAGAAAGAAAGGTAAGCAAACCTTGGCTTCAGTTCTCCATGTGTGTAAGATGACCATGCAATGCTGGATTTCTCCCAATACCTCTTTGAACCAGGCACTTTTGTCTTAATGCTTTTGGTTTCTGAGCCTTTCCTATCTAAAAATATGTAACAACACTAAATGTTACCAAACATTTGCATATCATAAATTTATGATTTTTCAGAAATCATAGGGAATGATCTTACTCCACTGAGTAAATCAAAGTATACTATTGTAATTTCACGTTCTATTGTACTACACAAGAAACATTTCCAAGAAAACATACATTTATCTTTATTCATTGAGTCTCAAGAACAGCCTAATCAGAGTTATTTACATGCAAGTGATTAAAAGAGGCTAAAAAGCAATGAATTTAATTATTATGTTTACATCATTACAGCTCTTTTTAATGCAAAAATTAAGCAACTTAAAATACATTAATCAATTTACATTAACAATGAATTAAGAATTGGAGAGATGGATGCTACTTAATCAGTGTTAAGCTATTATTACTACTACTACTACTACTACTATTACATGTCATAAAATGTTAGATTAGCACCCAAAATAAATAATTATAAGAGTAAAGGGAAAATAATTATGACAGAGAAGAATAAACTACAGGATCATGTATACAGGCAGTCCCCGGGATACGTACAAGATAGGGACTGTAGGTTTGTTCTTAAGTTGAATCTGTATGTAAGTCGGAACTGGCGTCCAGATTCAGCCGCTGCTGAAACTGATCAGTTTCAACATTAGCACCCAAAATAAATAATTATAAGAGTAAAGGGAAAATAATTATGACAGAGAAGAATAAACTACAGGATCATGTATACAGGCAGTCCCCGGGATACGTACAAGATAGGGACTGTAGGTTTGTTCTTAAGTTGAATCTGTATGTAAGTCGGAACTGGCGTCCAGATTCAGCCGCTGCTGAAACTGATCAGTTTCAACAGC